ACTTGCATTTGAGAAACACTTTGTCATCATTTGATCCCATAGTTTGACCACTGATTACACCTTCAGATCCAATGGCATTGCAATCGATGTTAGGCTTAGCGCCGAACCCGTCGTTCGGATCGTACGACCGGTCGGTGGCGGCCGTCGACGCCGTCCACGAGTTGTCCGCATTCTCGGCGACGAGTCTTCCGCTGCCGGCCGTCGAGTCGTTTGATTTGAATCACTTGTACGACAACAACGACTCTTCCAAGAAGATCGACATCCATATGGATAAGGGAACCACTACTCTGGCCTTCAGATACAAAGGCGGTGTTGTTGTGTGCGCCGACAGTCGCGCCACTGGCGGTCAGTTCATCGGCTCGCAGACCGTCCGCAAGATTATACCCATCAATAAACACCTGTTGGGAACGATGGCGGGCGGGGCCGCCGACTGCACCTATTGGGAGCGCGTGCTGTCCGAGAGGTGCCGTATCTATGAGCTCCGCAATCGGGAGCGCATTTCAGTGGCCGCCGCCTCCAAACTCTTGGCTAATATCCTCTACAACTACAAGGGGTGAGACATTGAGCGCACGCTTTGATCGCAATTGTCTTACATTTGTATATTGTGTTACAGAATGGGTCTGTCTTTGGGTGTAATGATCTGCGGATGGGATGACAGGAAGGGTCCGGCGGTCTTCTATGTGGACAGCGAAGGCCACCGAATGCCCGGACACCTGTTCAGCGTCGGCTCCGGCAGTACTTACGCTTATGGTATGAATTGGTTTTGATTGAATCCGATTATGAAGTAATTGTACTGTTTTTGTTGGAAAGGTATTCTGGATTCGGGCTATCGTTACGATATGAGTGATGACGAGGCGTACGATTTGGGCCGACGAGCCATATATCACGCCACACACCGCGACTCCTATTCCGGTGGTATCGTTAGGGTGTATACCATCAAAGAGGACGGTTGGCATATCATCACCGAAGAGGACAGCAAAGACTTGCACTACAAGTACGCCGACGAGAAGAAGAAGTAATTCGTTTCAATTAATCCCTTTTTCCGCATTCGGAGTTGTATTTTATAATTTACTTTTAATAAAATATGCTTAAAATGAACTAATATTTTGTTTACGGTATTTATTTGATATATATTTTTCAACATTTAATTTGATCATCAGTTGACACAAATGACATAAAAATAGCGATTAAATCAATAAATGCTAGAATCAAATGAATTGTTTAAACCCTTTTAGACTAAACTAATCATTTGACTGGAATTAGGATTATTTATTATGAAATAAACGACAAATAATTCAATACACAATTATAATAGACTTGATTTGACTGATAATAAACGTATAAAAAATAATAAAATGCAATTAAAATAGATAAATTTGATAGAATTAAGACTCTGTAAATAAGCAATCAATTGACTCTCATTATGGGGTATTCATTTGACAACTGGTAAGCATTTGATTAAATCATTAACAATATTCGCATAAAAATAATTCTCTTTCGCGAGTAATTAAAAAACAATTAACAAAAATAGAGTACAAATAGTTTGGCAAAAGAGTTGAAATAATTGAATTAAGAATACAACAGATTGTCTCTCAGTGTTGGACCAATCAATCAGTTCTTAACCGCTCTGATAGCCTGCGGAAGGGTTGAGGCACAGCCGCCCTCGAAGTGAAATCTAGTTGAAATACATTCGGTTAATGTTTAACAATATTTCATTAGTTTCATAAAAATACCCGAAATGATGGGTTCCGGGAGTGCTCTCAATATTAAACTCAGCGACGGGTACCTAAAATGTTCATTCAATTGACAAATTAATTTTAAAATCATTTATAACGCGTTTCAAGAGACTAACCCCTCGAGAGGCCACTTGTGGGGCAAACATTGCCGCCGGATATACGATAGAAGAGGTGCCGATCTGTCCGTTAATAATATATTAATTTGAAATCAATGGTCACTTATATCAACACTTACCACAAGACAAAGATCGCATTTGTCCAGCTCAGTTTGTGCCGCCTCAAGAACCTGACCATTGGATTAAATGGTGTTATTCGTTGTCATCACAAACAGCGCTAATATTTAAAGCAATTAAACTCACACTCGGGTCGAGGGGTTCGCCAAACCAGACCACATGCGGTCTGAGAAGTCCGTGACATTTGACACAATGCGGTAACTCTTTGATCGCAATCTTTGAGTCCATTTCCGAGGGGTCGGGACTGCCTTTGCCTTTGAGTGCCGGCACTATCGGTGACTCCTTATTGACGGCAATGTCACCGCATTTCGTGCACTGAGTCTTAAAGAGAGTTCCGTGCAATTCGATCACATTATCACTTCCAGCCCTTCGATGCAATTCGTCGATGTTCTGAGTGATGACAACCAGCCGTTTGCCTTCATTGGCCAGACGTTTCTCGGTCTCCGCCAGCGCTTTGTGGGCGTCGTTGGGATGCTTTGTGTGAACCAACTCTCGTCGGTAGGAATAAAACTCCC